CCCGTTAACCCGGAATTTGGCCCCGCATCAAAATTTCCCCCCAGCTTGCCACTTTAATAACAATAACGCGTTCTTTTGTTTTATTAGGCTTTTATACGATAATTAGGACACATATCAAGATTTGGCGCTTTTTTTCCAGGGGGGTTGCTAACACGAAACCTGCGAAATCTTGTTCGCCATGGTCGATTTAGTGGTACGGCATATTTATCTCAAAAGGGTCACTTCTAAACCCTTTCTAAACAAGTTCGATTTTTGAAGGAAAAACATTTTGAAAAAAAATAAAAAGTTCCGTGTCGGATTCGAACCGACGACGAAAAATTTCACTTATTTCTTTGCACTTAACCACTGTGCTACGGATCCATACTGATTCTTTCTTATTATATCAAGTATAAAGTGAAGAAAAGCAGAACGAGATTTCGATTATGAACGTTTCTGCTAGAGAGTTGCCAACGGGGTTTTTGTAGAGCACTGTCCGTTACATATATGACAGTGTTTATATCAAGAGAGTCATTCCGTTTTCCGGAGAGACATTTTGCAAATTATTTGACTTGCGATCAGAATAAACAGCTGAATAGTGCAAATATCGTGTGCATCTGAAGTGCACCGAATCAGCAAAAGTAGCAAAACTAAGTAATGAACAAGATAGTCATATCCATAAGGGTAAATAAAAGAAAAGAGAAAATAGAGAAAATATAATTAATTAGAATAAATGATGTTTGACAATACAATATTTTACAAAATAATTCATCACTTTCCAAAACATTTTTTGTTTAAATCAGAGCAATTTTACAATATACTTTTGCAATATTTGAAACCAGTAATTTAAAATGTTTTTTGTCTCTATTTCATAACTTTCATCTATGCTTTTGTGTTAACCCACGTTGACTAAAATAAGGGCATATAGTTTTTGGCTGCACCAGATTAAGGGCTTTCAATACCAATTGTTTCATTTTTTTATCTGTATCATGAGACATTGAACGATAAAAAGCTCTCATTACCCCGAAGAGACAGATCAGAACTTTCACCATGTGAAACAGCTTCTTCAGAAAATGAGAGCTTTTTATCGTTCAATGTCTCACGATACAGATAAAAAAATGAAACAATTGATATTGAAAGCCTATAATCTGGTGCAGCCAAAAACTATATGCCCTTATTTTAGTCAATGTGGGTTAACACAAAAGCATAGATGAAAAAAAGCATAAGAGTGAGCGTTTTCCACAGATTTTGCTAGAAAATCGTATTAGAGGCTCGACTGGAATACATACTATTCACCTTAGCCTTTCGCTCTTTTTAGATCTTCGCTTAGTGGTTTGAATTTATATTTGATCATTGAAAATTCACTGTTAACAACTTACGGGATAGGTTTGTTCTTAAAAGGGTCCATTGAAAACCCTATAAGAAATAGGTTAGGAAAACCTGTGATATAGGATTCGATGCATCTTCATCTACTCTTTCCAACGGTGAAAACCGCAATTCTCTATCTTATTTCTGTCAAAAGTTATCCAGAAATACTCACGAGCATTCACATAACCGTCACACATGCGAACGAAGCAGATGTTGTCGAAATTTTATTATTATGATATTAGTTGAAGTATGATCAAATAGCATAGAAAAATAGAGCATTCTTTTCTCTATCAGACTATATAGAAAGAAAGTTTCTTAAAGCTTTTATAAGGTATTGTGCAGTACCGACATCACTACTCTTGGTATGCCCTAAGTACATTGCAGTAAAAATACGGGTACTTTTTCTTCTAATGTATTTTTTGTACCTCAAACTGTATTTGAAGTTCAATCTAATTAGACCAAAAGATGCAGCGCCTTTCGGGCTTTCTCGCTATATATAGTAGATTAAAGAACAAAACAATAATTATAGTAACAAAAACAAAAAAAACAGTGGGGGCGATTTCAATTGGCCCTCACAGTATTACTTTATGTGCAAAATAAACGAAGTTTTTGAAAATGTTTTGTGATTTCTCCATTGTAATAGTATACCTCGTATGTGTTATAAACGGTAGAATTTGAGTGTTTAATAACTGCTATTTCTGGAAAAAATACTGAATTCTGTCGCATCACCAATGAAAAGTACATCTTTTTTTCCAATTGTCAGCAGTAATATTGACAGGCCTGTATCTCAAAAACTAAGCTGTACCCCTTTGTGAAAAATAGCTGGACGTGAAGTACAACTGTGTACTTCAGATTGATCTAAACACAATTGTTAAGCATTTTACCGTAAATAAAAAACATAGATTTTATATTGTATAGAAAATGCATTTGATTTTCTGAAAATATCGATTTTGAAACTGAATCGATTAAATCGACTATCAATTTGCAACTGAAGAAAAGTCTTCCTTCACCCATCTTATTAAAATCAGAAAAATTTCTGCAACACAAAACAGGTTGCTCGATTTTCTCAGCTAATGAGAAGATCTATACAAGTAATACGAGTAGCTATAAAAAACATTTCAGTCATCTCGAGACTAGAGTATCGAGGCTTCTCGCGACTTCTCGTCTTCATTATCATTATAATATACCATAGCACTAATTACTTTAATTGAAATACAGACACAAAATTTCAAAATTCTAATAAATATAAACGTCTAGCTAAATCTGATAAAAAAGAATTGAATATTGTAATTAAACAGACATTCTATTCTTAAAAAAATTAGAAAATATCAATGACTTTACAGTTACACAGCTACATAAACCAATCGTACAATATNACGAACTATGAAGAAAAGCAGGTGCGGAGGAAAGTCATGGTATGTCTCAGACATACAGGAATGAGATAAGTAGTACTCAGAAACATTGAGTACTTTTGATATATTGTAAAATTATAGATCATAGTGACTATCATAAACTAAATAAAGCAGGAATTTCACATAAAACGGAAAACAGCGAAAAATAAATATTCGCAGTTATTCTAACTACTTTCAGTTATAAAAGTCGCTCTTAATTATGAGTGTGTTATTAAAGAAATGTCGATTTTACTTAAATAATTCACTGTTGTTGCATAAGTTTTCCATTAACACATCTATAGCTGGTTGTTAAATAACATGCATGAGGATTTTGTCCACAAGCCAAATGACCTTTTGGACATAAATATTTTCCATCAATGCAATCGTATCCATTTGGATCAAATACTTGTTTAATAGCACCACAAATATTCGATGATGATGGCGGTGGTAATTCAGTTTTATACATTATTTTTAGAGTAGATCTAGTGTTAAATTGCGCACTAAACTGAAAGTTAACATGTACATACTGGAGTTGTTTCATATTCGATCGTCGGTCATCATCCAAATTAATGTTTAAGATTGTCGATTGTTGACTGATTTCATTGATACCATATCTAATTGACAGTTGATTCAAATCAAGCATTAACCAATGTTTTATTGATTCACGATTTTCTGCTTCCTCTAACTGATTTATTTCAGAATTCTTTATTTCATGAAGTTGTGCGCGTTTGCTATTAGGATTCACTTCTAATACTATACCATAAACATCGTCGGTTGAATGCTGGCGATTCTCATTACTAGATAGAAATAAATCAAATGGTATTGCTTTCGATCGAAATGTAACCTCTAATATCAATTGTGTCCAGGGTTTCAACGGTAGGTTACGGTTACTTGATTTCAAAGAAAACCGAATTAACTCAGTATCACTATTCTCTAAATGATATAGTTCGTGAAATTTAGGTACATGTGAGAGAAAAATTATCTTACTTCTTCTATCCAGCATTTGTCCTAATATACTTTGAATATAAAGGAAGAAGAACAGGAAGAGCTTTGAAGGCATTTGTGTTGCGTGTAACGTTTTCGTCCATATGAAAGCATGTACATATATATATACGTAAAGAGAAGGAAACAAATTTCCCAGTTAGAAATGATAATCAATGACATACACTAGAACAGAGAGAAAAATCCCACATGATGAATTATATAACAAATAAATATTCCCTCAGACGAAGTGACAGTGGTATAGCCTAACAGATATTACGCGAATCATAGTTTAGGAAAACCGTTGTCTTACGAAGACCGCTTCCTCAACAATGGATTATTTTCAACAACCGAACAATATCAATATTTTCGCATCTTTGTCCAGACAACTGTGTGGAAAGCTTCGTTAGCTCTTTGCGATCCTCCATGTAAAACACGTTCAACACTTTTGGGACAACAAAGCTCATTGAAATCAGACACGACAGGCTCCATAATACTAAAATCTGTAATATACTAAAAGCTGCTGGCTACCCTTACGTGTTTTTTTGTCATGAAAAACCTTTTTTTATCGAAAAATTTTTTTTGACATTCTGATTTAGGTATGGGACGCATCGAACGCTCGAATGGAGAAAGCATGAGCACGTTCGCGCTCGAGCGCATTTTAACGAGCGCACTTGCCGCTCGAGTACGATTTGTCCCTTTCGCTCGTACACCGAGCGAAATTTTCGTGTTTTGGTACGTAAACTAGCGTATGAAAGCTCGGATCCTAGATCATTCCATAGAGGATAATATGCTCTATGGGCTACAACAGTTAAGGGCTCTTTCTCGTTTTGAGCTACTAGATTCTCCTACTACCAGGCAATATGGATATATTTTTTAAGGTGATTATTTCGCTGCTCTTTCAATTGAACCGTTTTGCAGGTCATACTTTGCACTATCCAAAGAATCTCTTTTTGTATTCGTATTGCTGCTGTAAGTTGAAATTTAGACTTCTAAGTCTTTTATCTGAAACGAAGCCTATCTGAGGAAGGTTCTATAGCAAAAAAATGAGCCCTTAATATCAAGAAGGAAACGTTATGAAGATCACATTGTTGACATCTTGATTTACTACATCAATGGACAATAGATATGACATATGATGATCCAACAGTTCAGTTCAGTACGCTCATGGTAGAAAATTGAGTGTATATGTTTCAATTCAATTTGTTGCATTATGAATATGTTTAGAGAATTGAAACTTTTCCAACTGCAAATAAAAATCTCTAATACCACACTATAATAACAAAAAAAAAGAAGTTCATAATTGAAGTGATTCAATTCAAAATCTGTCACAGTTATTGAGTATTGATCTGAAGTGATCTGTTGTATTTTTTCTGCAATTGAAATTTTCCAGAAAAAACCTGTTTCAAGTTTTAGAGTTTTTTTTCGATCAGGTGTAATTAGGATACGACTTTTAGCTGATTTCGGGGTAAAAGTGTTTTTTGTTTAGAAAATCTTAGAAAGGTACATGGTTCGTTCAGTTTTTGACGCTGATTACGACTATGACATTTTTTCTGTTACAAAAATGCGTCTTTATAGTTAAAACTTGAGATTACTGGAGTATTGTTCGTATTTTTTCATTCTACTAGCTACATTTCCTTCCAAAATTTCGTCTGTACTTCCCGGTATAAAACCTGGAAAATAGATCTATCTTGTGCAAAAATTCTTCATTCTATAAGATGCAATAAATAAACTTTCTGCCGAACCATAAACGGTTTTGAAATTTGATTTTACTCAAAAATTGCACATTTCAACATTTTCCTGTTTTTCAGTCATTTTAAATTTTTGAGTTATCTGTCTTTAAAAAACAAAATGAGTCATTTTCTTCAGTTTTAATTGCTCTTTCGAATGAGATGTCATTCAAAAAGTTTGAATAAAACTTGAAGTCAAAAAATTGAAATTAGTAAAGATAGCGCTTTTTTCGACTTTTTAAACTTCAGTTATTTTCGGTGATATAGTTATATATACTTGCACGAGTGCAACGCAAAAGAGTGAACGGAAGTAGAGTCACTCACTATACAGTTCAACGTGTACTTTACTTGGAGGAAAGATTTCTTTAAGTTTTGCTTATACAACACGTTATCTTTATCTCTCCAAGTAATGTACGAGTTGAACTGTATACTGACTCTACTTCCGTTCACTTTTTTTGTTTTGCACTCGTGCAAGTATATAACTAACACCGAAAATAACTGAATTTTCCTTCAGGCTCTGCTACTACTCGCTCTCTCGAAAGTGTTCACCAACTGTTCAGAGAGGGTACGGTGCAAGTCAAAGTTCATGATTAACCAGCCGAAAATCTGAAATTTCTCTTCATTCAAGTGCTACTTTGAATGGTGAAGGTTAGATATTCGAAAATTGTTAGTGAATCATGAATGGATGTTATAAAAAACTTCATGAATCTTATTATTAAGATTCTAACAGATTCTTACCTAATCTTGAAAGAATCTTAGACTATATAATCTTAGTAAGATTTCGCTAAGACCATAACAAAATCTTATCAAATATTGAAATTTTCAGGTCTCAGGATCGTGGTAAATGTAAGCGAAAGTCTTACTAAGATCTTAATAAAATTATTCTGCGATCTTAGTAAGATTCGAATACGTTTCTCACTGGGGACGCTCTTATCTCTCCGTTTAAACGCTTTTTTGCACACTAGAACTCCTTTAGGTTTTCGATCAATTACCACATTATAAAATATTCCCGACGCAAGTAATAAATCTTACGACCTACTATAGATTGTACAACAATATTTTATATTTTGAGACTTTCTTAGATCTTCTTAAACTTTTCTTCTAGGTGATATGTATTAAATTGTAGCTCGAGAAATTCTCTATCGAATGGTATATTTGCGTAGTGACCGGATGAGACAGCTTGTCATAGAATATCTCAGAATTTTTACACGTAGAAGATCATTTTCAATAACTAGAAATATTTCTGAACATACTTGGCCTCAGACCGGCTATTTTCGTATATGTGATATACAGAAATATAGCGAAGAAAAATAATTTTCGAATGATAATAATAGTCGTGAGAAATTGTGAGACTGAGAGAGAAAGATCGAAAAATACGATCTATAATATATATCAGATAGAGTAGAAACTGAATCAAATTTGATTTGACCATTTTTTTCTAAAAGTGGAAAAATATTCTTAGAAATAAATATTTCGCTATTTGTTCTATATCTAGTCTTTGATTAGTCAATAAAATTCAGGCATTGATTGATATCATCAGATAATCGCTTCCGTCTTTTGAGATTATGATAGTTATTCTGATATTCCTCGTGTCTATCTCGTCATATTTTTCTAAAACGTCTTTTACACATTTTTAATAAGTTACTACCGGATGGGCCAGAATAAATGAGGGTCTCAGTATTTTGCTTATAACTTGGCTAGGATTTGTTTCCGAGGTTTGATGTTGTTTTGAAAAGATGCGCCACGAAATACTCTACAAAACCATACCTAAACCATAATTTCAGAGCTCCAATCAAGAAAACTAATCCAATAAAAATGCAAACTGAATTAGCTGTTTTGTAGCCTTGACTTCGCTCTATCTTTTAGCTACACTTCAAATTTTTTCACATCAAAACCCACAACGAAATAATAGTTTTTCTGTCGATTGTCATGCATTTTTTCAAAAGCTTTTTCGATCGGATTTGTTTTGTTTTGATCAGAAATGATTACTCTTCTCTATCTAACTGCAAAATCAAAACTTCAACCAGGTTTTCTGTGTCTTGCTTGAGCACATTTTTGGAAACGGGGAGGCTGTCAACTTGTGACGTATTTTTGTAACTTCGTCTGCAGCACACCATCTGCTCTAAAAAATATTTTTTACAGACCAGAAGAAAGACCACATCTGAAAATATCAAACATAAACTGAGTTCTCACTTTTGCTACACTTTTTAGCGGAAATAGCAGCAGAAGAAAAGCTCAAGTCGAAAAAACTTTTGAGTTTGTAGAATTTTCATTTTTTTCGACTTTCATCTAATTGGCTTAGTTTTCTTGATTGAAGTTTTGAAATTATAGTTTAGGTATGATTTTGTAGAGTATTTCGCAGCGCATCGTTTAAAAAAACATCGAGTCTCAGAAACAAATTCTAGCCAAGTTATAAGCAAAATGCGGAGACGCCCATTTATTCTGGCCCACCCAGTATTTTGCTGCACTTTTCTTACATATTATATTTTTTACTGTCCTAGATACTGCCTTTAAAGATGTGTTGGTATCGGCGACGAATAGATAAAACTGGGCTTTACAACATTAGTTACCATTTTCATGTCAAAGCTTTTTCATCATGCGAAAACTTATCGTTGTCGTAATTTCGAACATAGTCTGTATTCTAACTCGAACTTCTAATTAAGTTTTGCTATTTACGTATTTCTTGTGCATTGATGAATATTGAATAAAGCAATAAGAAGAAAGTGTGAGGACGTTCGATTTCATCAACTAGTTTTATCGCCTAATTTTATTAGTCTCGAGATGTTGAATGAAAATAAAATAACTATCACGCGAGGCGATTTCAAGAATTGTCATGTAGCATTATCATCCAAACTGCGAGTCTTGAAAAGATATGGCAAGAATGAATAATACACTTAGCTATGTTGATAGATAATGTACGGTATAGAAATTGTAGAGATCTTATTCTACGATTATCAGATCGGTGACAAATGTCCGGATTCCTTCCTATTCTCCATTCACATGAAACCAATTTTATTTAGTGCAAATGATTCTCATTTTCTTGCAGTTGTTGATATTGGTAATAATGCCAATTCTGTTGATTTTCTATTTTCCATTCGTCTTACTTGTATAAATCTTGATTGAGTATGCGGTACTTGAAATGTAATTACGTTAATACCAAGCGTATAATATGATATTTTGTTAATAACATTAAAAAATTCGTAACGATATAATCTTGCACCTAATCCATACATATTAAATGTTAAACAATAACTCATATTCAATGTAATTCGAGATAAGTTTGTTATGAAATGAAAAACATGTCCCTTTCTAGTTAACATTGTTGATAAAAATGTTAAAAATGAAAACGGTATACCTAAGATAATATAGAGTAAAGCATAAAACAGAACCATAAAGCTCAATTGACGATCTAACTGACGATAACGACAACGTTGTTGACGAATATTTGACATTGTTAACAGGCCAAATAGAATTGTTAACGATAAACATAACAGACCCATTATCCATGCGGATGTACTAAAAAATTTTGTATAAATACCGGCTTTAGGTATACATATTGAATATTTTACATGAATTTCAAAAAAAATAAACATATGTAAATTACTTAATGCTAAAATAAGCGTCGCAGCAAAAATGACACGATATGAAACATAAATTGTGCTAAATTTACGAACATTTGGATTTGTTGATGATGCACACCATCGATCAATAGTTGCTAATAATGTTAACCATGGTGTTAATTGATACACAACATACGAGAAATAATTACGAAATTTACAGAAAAATGCTGAGTAACGTGTAGGATCGATAGAAAAACCATCTGCTAACATTCTTGTTAGAACACCAAAATATAATACCGGAAAATTATTCACGGATAATGCGAAAAAGTATGTTGAACATGATGAACGTACTGCAGGACGCGAAAATACATAAATACTAATTAGATTACCAATAGTTCCAAGTAAAATGATCATCGGTTCAATAGTATTATTCAATTTAATGTAAATGTCATTCAATCTTGTCGACGATTGATTCATCATCATCCTACAATTAATCGAATATATATATATATAATTTCGATGTAAAAAACAATTCAACAAGAAATTGATTAAATAATCATGTCAACAAAAGCATCTCATTTCGATTCATGGTCTAAAGCAATTTGAACTTGTACTAACGAAAGACATATTCCGAGTGGTTCAAACAGATTTTGATGAAACATAGATTTTTATGGGTCACTTTCTATGCTAATCACAAATCTGATATTCGTTTTGTCGCTAGTATAGCTTGCTACTACCATTCTATAGAAATTGTGTCTCTGGACACGTGATCGATACTAGTGATTTCGACAGTGAATTAAGAAGATTGAGTTATCTAAGTGAAAAAGTTTTTACAAATAAGTTTTAACCGACAAAGATGTATTTTATCGAGGGAAATATACCTCAATCAGCCATATTTTAGAAAAAAACAACAGAAATCTGCCCATGTCGCACTTTTTTTCGTAATACCGCCGGTTACCGACCGGTCTATAGATTACCGCTGGTTAACCCCACTGTTCAGTATAACGACCGGTTTAGCGACGGCCTTTTCTTCTACCGACGGTTACCGCACAGTAGTTTTCAGACCGCGGTACAAGAAAAAACCGTCGGTAAACCGTTTTGACACAATCACCTTTTTGTTTTGCAGTTGGCAGTCTATATAAGAAACGCAGAAAAGTCAAAAAAGTTTGATTATTTTTCAGATTAAACTTTCTCTTTCACATTATAGAGACTCGTCGAAGTTTGCTCTTTGACTTGAGTCAAGTTTTTACCGTTCGGAGACCTCATTGGGTTGCATGCGCACTACAAAAAATAGAAAGCTGAGAACTAGATTCGAACTCCTGTACTGTTTGCTCACACTGATAAAATACCGGTTGATACCGCCGGTACAACCGACCGGTATACCGCGTGGTTCGGTAGACCGTGCGGTAACATCACATGTCCATTAGGTTAAGCGCCCACTATACTCGGCGGTGACCGCTGCGGTAACTGGCGGTATTTTAGCGGTTCTGATGACATGGGTGTATAATCCGCGAACAACGCTTTTGCCCTTCTTTTAAAGTAAATTTGAATTCTGAGCAGTTAACTTTTACATTTTATTTGATTATTAATATCGAACAGAAATAATGAAGATTGGTGTAATATAGAATCATTCATCTGCGCATTAGTTGTATTAATTGAATTATATTTAATTCAGCAATAAAATAATTTAAATGAGCAATAATTAAATTTAGTGCGGGCAGTGTGAGAGTAAGTTCGAAAAGTAGTTTAGTTATCAATACCCAATGTGTATCATGAAAAATTTGCAGTATGTCGTTTACGATAAAAAACGTTTGTGTTTGGCGTACCCATGAGGAAATTTTAGCACGTACCGCAGCGTGTACACCGATGAACATCGTGAACGAAATGTGAGCGCGATGAACATTGTGAAACGAAATGTGAGCGCGGTGAACATCCTTAAATGGTGTGTTGGCACGCGTGAAAAAATTATCTACTTATGACCACTCGTGAACTGTGCATGAAAAATTTTTCCATCACATTTTTCGAACGTGGTCGATAGTGAAAAAATATGTGACCACACGTGAAAAAGTTATCCGCCTGCGACCAGACGTGAATAGTTCACGAAAACATATATGTGACGTTTCTGCCGCGTGACCGCTAATGAAACTCGAGAAGCGTGCAGTGACCACGCGTGGATTTTTCGCGTTAATATTTCCGTAAAAGAGTTTCACTTGCGAACACGCGTCAGAATGTCTAGAACGAATTTTATTATAAAAGATACCCACGACGTTCACTGGTGTACACGCCACGGTATGTGCTAAAATTTCCTCATGGGTAGCACTTCACACTAATCCATGTGTAATTTTTTGTGTGTATAAAAAAGAACTCGATGGATACACGTGGATTAATGTGAAGTGCTACGTTTTATAATAAATTTGTTTCTAGACATTCTAACGCGTGTTCGCCAGTGAAACGTTTTTAACTTTAGGCCGAATATATTTTTTGCAGGAATATGCCTGGGAATCATCTTGTTCTCAGAGATCAAAACTGGTTTTTCAAAGATCTGCTCAAAATCTCTCTCTATCTTCTATCAAAAGTTACTCAAAAGGCAACCGCATTCCTTGTATTTTGGTTGTCTCACAGCCAACAAAATTCAAATTTGATTTGTACTGACATCTGTCATTCGAGTTACGTTTTCATGTAAACCAAGAAAAGTTTTAATGAATAGTACAAGACGCTTTTTTCTCAACGTTGCTATAATCATCACGTGAAGAGAAACAATTGCTAATAATATAAGAAAGGAATGAAATTGTCGCTGATGAAAAAAAGCTTTTTTTTCATTTATTAATATATAACTTTCATATAATATTACAAAGTGTGCTTTTTATTCCATGTGACATATTAATAATAAACGTGATAATCTTCTTCGAACATATTTATCTTTTTTGTACCTAAGAAAGTTACTTGAAAAAAAAAAGCAGCACATTTGAGTTGCAAGCCTAGACGCTAATTGTGGACTATGTTAATTCTTAGCAAAGTACTTAAATTAAAAATATATTGAATATCACAAAGCTGAAATGCTATTGAACACATTTGCGTGTACACAGTTCTGTATGCTCTATCGAATGAGCTTAGTACGAGGCGAAAAAAAAAATACACTTTTGTTTTTAAACTGAATTTTATTCAGTAGACCATGGGAATGTACTCGTATTTTGCCCTTTTTCCCATCGGATTTTATCTTTTTAGCAAAATCAATGGCATGTACGAAATCAGCATCAAAAACTGATCCGAATGATATACATCTGAGAATTTTTCGACAAGTTTCGTTTTTAGCTGGAAATTTCACCAGGTTTTCGTTTTTGAAAAAACTCGAAAAAATTCATAATCGTCCAAATTCTCAAATACATATCATTCGGATCGATTTTTGATGCTGATTCCGAACATGCCATTGGTTTTGCTAAAAAGATAAAATCTGATAGAGAAGGGGCAAAACACGAGCGCATTTCCATGGTTTGCTGAATAAAAATCAGTTTAAAAAAAAGCATATTTTTTTTCGCCTCAAACTAAGCTCATTCGACAGAGCATCCAGAACTGTGTATACCACATGATTTTCGTAGTGTAACACGTATTTGCTGTTGTGTGGGATAGAAAATACTTTTCGCTAGAAGTGTATTTTCTGTGATTTTTTTTAGTTGAAAGTCATTTTTTGGATTAAATAAGACAGTTTTACACATCCTTTGAGTCAGATTCAGAAAACTGACCTCTCACAATGTGTTCTGAAGGCTAAAATATGGTACGCGAAGTGTCCAAGGCGATAGTTATTGCATTAGCTCTCTAAGGCCATCCTTCAGTAAATCGTCTTTTATTAGGTCAAAACTCAAAATAATTAAGTTTTTCACTTAATATTCGAAATCAGCATCACATTTTTCATCGAAAGATGTAAGTCTCGAAAATATTCAAAGGAAAAAAAAATTTAGTGTTCTAAGGGGGCCATAGCGGCTATGATTTTCCGAAAAAAATGAAAGTGACTTTTCAAACGAATCAAATACATCCTTTTGTTCAGAATTCGATGCTGATTCCGAATATCTGTTACTTTTTTCAATTGATTAAGGAAAACTTTTGATCCTTACTCGCCTCTCTCCTTTGTTAAACGATAACCTAAAGAGCACATTTCTGATTTTTAAAATTAAAGATTGATTGAGTTATATAAAAATTATTATTGATGTAAGAAAACTGTCATTTTATCAGCCGTTATTTTATTGTCAGTTTTTTCAGGTCTAATTATTCCTATTCATGAGACGATACACGTAATGTCTGAAGATATGACTATAATTTTATGACAGAGTTATAATCTACCACTTATTACTACACAGAATCATTAAGAACTGATCTGTGATATCCGGTATATTTCTGTCTTTTCTGTTTTACAAATCGCATTATGCATTTTATTGTGTAGCGAGTTGCATTGTCGATAATTAATACTAGAACTCTGTATAGTTTAACTAACATTTTTTTGTGTCCATCGACGTGAATTGGACTAAACTCTAACCTTTTATACCACTGATTCGTCTGAAGTCGCAACAGCTTAGACCCTCACTTGCATAGACAAACAAACGGTGAACAACAACATGGTGACTGCAATTCTGAAACTCACAAAGTGTTATAAATAAATGTGTACGCACAGATGTCGTTTTTCGAATGTACTCGAGTCTATGCAAATCATCTACAACGGCCGGTTCACAGTTACACTAAAAGTACGAATAACCTTCTTAACATCCATGTCCATAGATTTCATCTGGAAGATTTTTTTCGTGCACTACCCTGTCAAATCAAAGTGGCACCCACAAAATCTGACAACGTGTACGAAAATGTCCAATCAGACATCTTTTTTGGTTTTACAAAGATGCTGCAGCAAAAGGTAGTATAGATCTCTGAAATCGCGTATAAAACCTTTTTTTCTAACAGATACTAAACTGGTAGTTAGGATAAGATTAAATGAAGACAATAGTATAGTGAATGAATAGTATCGATATACCTGTTTTACGTAGATCCAATTTCTTTCATTATCAGCATGTCAAGCTTTTGTCAAAGTGAAAAATATAGAAAAACAACTCTCACAGGATTTTATGTCATAGTGTACGGTGTTCTATATATGCAAGGAAAGTAGAACAGAAAAAATTATACTTCATTTTACAGAAGCGCCTGTAGAACTTGTTACAAATGATGAAAAAAATAAAGAATCTATCTTCATTGTGTCATGTTATGAAGAAAATACTCAAGGGATTTTTATCTCCTGCCATATCAAACTTTTTGGTTTTCTAAGAAAATCTAATTTGTTTTTGCTAAATTATTTGTTAGAAATTCCAAGGTTTAGTAAAAATAATGAACATTTTGCAAAAGGTTGTAGGCTTTATAAACGGGTTTGGTAACGTCTACTAAACCATTAAGTAAACCATTTGGGTTTTATTTTAGAGAATACACTGAACTGTAACTTTCCAGTTGATGAACCAAAAACTTTTAGTCAGTCAGTGCAGACCTTCGTTGATGTTTTCTTCAATTTGAATTGTTCACATTGGTGTTGAGAAAAATAATTTATTTCTAAGTTTTTTAAGTTATCTTCCTAACTCTTTCATGTCTGGTGTTAATATTAATGAAAATTAATATTTAATACTATTGGCTCTCTTTTTCCTGTTATCGATTGTTGGTAAGATTTCCTGTGAGCTTACTGGAAGATGAATCAGTATTTGATTACTGACTACACAATAACATGCATAATGTAATTTGTGAAACAGGAAAATATGAGAATATACTCTATATCATGAATCATTCTTTCTTGTTCTAGTATCTCAATCTTCCATTTTTGTTTTACTCTATATATTTATCGAGAACAGCATAAAACGAACTATACAAGAAGTATAATGTAAGTTTCAAGAGTGGCAGTACTTTTACTTTTATTGTTCTATTGTATCTTTTCAACGTCGAAAGAAGATCATCTGATAATTGAGAAGTTATTTATTATCAAGCTTTTTATAAAAAGGACGTTTTAAGATTTTAGTAAGATTATAAAATATCATAATTAATAGAGGATTATTTTTCTTGTAAAAACGGAAGAACTTTTTTTCTATTGTTTGAATATAATGGTTCATATTCTATATACACACACACACACACTCCATTACCCTCGAAAGTAATTTTTTCGCTTACATCTTTCATCACGTCCAGAAATTATCAGTCAATGTGCATAAAAAACAACAGACAATTGTTTTGATTTACAAACTTCTCTTTTCAAGAGACAGT